ATGCAGCATGGTTATGTTGCTATCAACATGTTATGTTGGAATCAACATGGTTTTGAGTCTTATCAAAATAGTTACAATACACAGGGAAGTTGCCGTTGTGTAAAACTTTTAAAGCTTTTATTTTCTGGTTCTGATGAGCTAACAAAATTGTCATTGGAAAGTCTCAAATTGGAAATATACGTAGATGTTAAAGACTTAAGCCTTAAGCCTTAAGATTTCCCTGCAATTGCATATTTATGTGATTGAACTTAGCAAAAGGATCAATTCTCCTCTGGCAGAGTATCCCGTTTTCTAATAATCTGCCAATCACGAAGACTTCAGGACCTCGTAAGGGGGGAAACCAAAAAAAAAAAAATCCCCCAAATTAGGCACATTGGTGGGTTGCTTAGTGATGGAATAAATCCATATTTCAGTTATTCCACTTCATACCGTCGACATTTCTTAGTGGACGTGTCCTTCTCTGCCATTTTCTCCGAAAATAGGAATAGAAATTGGAAAATAAATAGGTTATTCGTTCCGGGTAGAGATGGAAAGAATAACATAGGAGAGAGAGAGAGCTGACTTGGTGCCTTAGTAACGAAGCAATATCTTACTGTAAATAAATGATTTATTCTTAAAACTACATAATTAATCACTCCCCTTCCCCCTCCTGCCTCCCTATCCTGCCTCTTGCCTCATCCTGCCACCCATCCTGCCTCTTAGTGCCTCCCCCATACTGCTTGGACCCCTGACTTTCGCCCTCCTGGGCTAAGGTATGCTGAACTGTGTAATTACTATACGAGTACTGGAACACTTGATGATATATTGGACTTGTACCCTAGATTGACCATGTAATATATCAATTATATAATGTATGTATGTGATGTAACTATATAACCTGAGCTTGTAAAAGCACCTTCATCACCTTCAGTGATTAAGTGCTTAATTGCACACTAGTTTCTCTATCAGCTATCTCACCCAGTCAGAGTAAAAGAGACAAATGTATGTGAATGCATGTGTGTGTATATATGTATGTATACATGTATGTATATATGTATATGTACGTATATGTGTATATGTATATGTATGTGTATAAAGTATATATGAAAGATGATCAGAATTACATTTCACCTTTGTAAATGCACATTAATGACACTATGTAAAAGACACATCGAACACTTTATGTAAGGCATACGTAAATCTGTGTATCTATGTATTTACGTATGTAGGTTAGCTTAGCATTTTAAAAGCACCGAATCACCTTCTGTGGTTGAGTGTTCAATAAACCCTTGAACTATATGTTTAACACATCTCTAACCCTGTCCATGGAGGACAGAAGAAAATGTATATATGCTGGTTAGCATTGTAAATGTCTGGCCACGTCTGTGGTAGAAAAAAAAACTGCTTGGGTCGCCCATGGAAGCTGGGAACCATTCATTCTGGGAATCAATGTCTCTAGAAAGATCTATTTCTGACCTTCGTTCATGCTTGTTCTCCATGAACATATACATTCGGGTACTTTGTTCTCTTGTTTACACGTTCCTTTGTTCTCTTGTTTACACGTTCCTTTGTTCTCTTGTTTACAAGTCTCCGTTTGTTCACTGATATTCATCTGTGTCTTGCATCTCCTGTTATATCAGTCCCATCATTCTCTTTTCCTATCAGTCCCTTTCGTTCACTTGTTCCCATTTGTTCTCTACTTCTTTGTTCTCAATTCCTTGATTACAGTAATTATGGAGCTATGCATTCAGTAACTAGTAATCGTTGTTTGTAATGTCTTATATGTAACTCTCTCTCTCTCTCTCTCTCTCTCTCTCTCTCTCTCTCTCTCTCTCTCTCTCTCTCTCTCTACTCTCTCTCTCTCTCTCTCTCTCTCTCTCTCTCTTTCTCTCTCTCTCTCTCTCTCTCTCTCTCTCTCTCTATCTCTCTTCTCTCTCTCTCTCTCTTTTCTCTCTCTTTTCTCTCTCTCTCTCTCTCTCTCTTTTCTCTCTCTCTCTCTCTCTCTCTCTCTCTCTCTCTCTCTCTCTCTCTCTCTCTCTCTCTCTCTCTCTCTCTCTCTCTCTCTCTCTCTCTCTCTATCTCTGAAATTACTCAAAAATAGATTTGATGCAAAGATGATTTAATAACTTGCAAGAAACTGTTCCTTATATTGCACAGTGCAACGATCATTGAGTAATTAGCTCAGATATTAGAAGTGCCAATTATTTTCATTTCTAATAATTATTAAATTGTTCTCCTGTTGTTTAATTTCAGCAATCGGAGTAATTTATAAAAAAAACATTTGTAACCGTAAATTATTTGTTGAAATGATTTGTGAATTTCCAATTACGGGAAAAATACGGAAATATGAAATATAATTACTGTAATTGTTGTATAAGTGTGGTGGTGTCTCGAGAGGTGCCACATACTCGTACCTCATACTGGTCCCTCATACTGGTGCCTCATACTGGTACCTCATACTGGTCCCTCATACTGGTGCCTCATACTGGTGCCTCATACTGGTCCCTCATACTGGTGCCTCATACTGGTGCCTCATACTGGTGCCTCATACTGGTACCTCATACTGGTCCCTCATACTGGTGCCTCATACTGGTGCCTCATACTGGTGCCTCATACTGGTAGCTCATACTAGTCCCTCATACTGGTCCCTCATACTGGTCCCTCATACTGGTGCCTCATACTGGTGCCTCATACTGGTAGCTCATACTGGTCCCTCATACTGGTCCCTCATACTGGTCCCTCATACTGGTCCCTCATACTGGTGCCTCATACTGGTCCCTCATACTGGTCCCTATACTGGTCCCTATACTGGTGCCTCATACTGGTACCCCATACTGGTCCCTTATACTGGTGCCTCATACTGGTACCTCATACTGGTGCCTCATACTGGTCCCTCATACTGGTCCCTCATATTGGTACCACATACTGGTCCCTCATACTGGTCCCTCATACTGGTCCCTCATACTGGTGCCTCATACTGGTCCCTCATACTGGTCCCTCATACTGGTGCTTCATACTGGTCCCTCATACTGGTCCCTCATACTGGTCGCTCATACTGGTCCCTCATACTGGTAGCTCATACTGGTCCCTCATACTGGTCCCTCATACTGGTCCCTCATACTGGTCCCTCATACTGGTCCCTCATACTGGTGCCTCATACTGGTGCCTCATACTGGTCCCTCATACTGGTCCCTCATACTGGTCCCTCATACTGATCCCTTATACTGGTGCCTCATACTGGTACCCCATACTGGTCCCTCATACTGGTCCCTCATACTGGTGCCTCATACTGGTCCCTCATACTGGTCCCTTATACTGGTGCCTCATACTGGTACCTCATACTGGTCCCTCATACTGGTCCCTCATACTGGTGCCTCATACTGGTCCCTCATACTGGTGCCTCATACTGGCCCCTCATACTGGTCCCTCATACTGGTGCCTCATACTGGTCCCTCATACTGGTCCCTTATACTGGTGCCTCATACTGGTACCTCATACTGGTGCCTCATACTGGTCCCTCATACTGGTCCCTCATATTGGTACCACATACTGGTCCCTCATACTGGTCCCTCATACTGGTCCCTCATACTGGTGCCTCATACTGGTCCCTCATACTGGTCCCTCATACTGGTGCTTCATACTGGTCCCTCATACTGGTCCCTCATACTGGTCGCTCATACTGGTCCCTCATACTGGTAGCTCATACTGGTCCCTCATATTGGTCCCTCATATTGGTCCCTCATACTTGTCCCTCATACTCGTGCCTCATACTGGTGCCTCATACTGGTCCGTCATACCGGTCCCTCATACTGGTCCCTCATATTGGTGCCTCATACTGGTCCCTCATACCAGTTCCTCATACCAGTTCCTCATACTGGTCCCTCATACTGGTACCTCATACTGGTCCCTCATACTAGTCCCTCATACTGGTCTCTCATACCGGTCCCTCATACTGGTCCCTCATACTGGTCGCTCATACTGGTCCCTCATACTGGTCCCTCATACTGCTCCCTCATGGCTTACTTGCGTCAAAAAGAAGAAATTGACATTGTCTGGAGACTAAAAAAGTAGTTTTTACTTATCAATATCGCCATTAGGCCAACGACTGCCCTTATGCAGGATCCAAACCACAACAGTTGGCTTACTCACTGGTATCAGTTATGCTACATGGTGAGGATGGAGTTCAATGAAACGTTGCCCCAAACGTCTCGGTCCTCTGCGGCAAAAATTATCCCAGGATCGTTCAGTTGTGATTTAAAAGCGCTCACCACTGCGCTACTGGACCCCCAATGGTAATTAGCATAATTGGTTCCAGTTACTGAACGATCTTGTAAGGTTACGGAACGACGCCCACGACTTTCGTTCAGCGGGACAATCGCTTTTGTGGACTGTTATGTAAACAAGGATCAGCTGTTTACAAAACAGCTGATCCTGTTATGATTATAGAGCTGAGGTTCAGTGACGGGTCAAGTAGGTTACCTTGAGGTAGGTTATCTTGAGATGATTTCGGGGCTTTTAGTGTCCCCGCGGCCCGGTCCTCGACCAGGCCTCCACCCCCAGGAAGCAGCCCGTGACAGCTGACTAACACCCAGGTACCTATTTTACTGCTAGGTAACAGGGGCATAGGGTGAAAGAAACTCTGCCCATTGTTTCTCGCCGGCGCCTGGGATCGACCCCAGGACCACAGGATCACAAGCCCAGCGTGCTGGCCGCTCGGCCGACCAGCTCCCTCAAGTCACTCAAGCTCTTGTGACCAACATGTTCAAAATGTTCATCAGGTAGCTTATAGCGATCACGTTCTGCACTCGCCGCTGAGGATTCGATCCCTGGAACAGACACGGTTGGGTACGTTTTCCATCCACCTGGCGGTAAGGATAGGTACCAGGGAGGTAGACGGCTGGTGTGTGTGTGGGGGGGGGGGTGTGTAGGGGGGAGGGGTAGGGGGGGGTGGCATCCTGGGCATGAATCAGGTCAGTAGTTCGACCTTGGATGAAGACTGGGACTTGTGGGGGGGGGGGGAACTATTCGACCATGACCTTAGTGGTCTTAGTGGTCTTAGTGGTCTTAGTGGTCTTAGTGGCCTTGGTGGCCTTGGTGGCCTTAGTGGCCTTGGTGGCCTTAGTGGTCTTAGTGGCCTTGGTGGCCTTGGTGGCCTTGGTGGCCTTAGTGGTCTTAGTGGTCTTAGTGGTCTTAGTGGCCTTGGTGGCCTTGGTGGCCTTGGTGGCCTTAGTGGTCTTAGTGGCCTTGGTGGCCTTGGTGGCCTTGGTGGCCTTAGTGGCCTTGGTGGCCTTGGTGGCCTTGGTGGCCTTGGTGGCCTTAGTGGCCTTGGTGGCCTTGGTGGCCTTGGTTGCCTTAGTGGTCTTGGTGGCCTTAGTGACCTTGGTGGCCTTAGTGGCCTTAGTGGCCTTAGTGGCCTTGGTGGCCTTAGTGGCCTTGGTGGCCTTAGTGGCCTTAGTGGCCTTAGTGGCCTTGGTGGCCTTGGTAGCCTTGGTGGCCTTGGTGGCCTTGGTGGCCTTAGTGGCCTTAGTGGCCTTGGTGGCCTTGGTAGCCTTGGTGGCCTTGGTGGCCTTGGTGGCCTTAGTGGCCTTGGTGGCCTTGGTGGCCTTGGTGGCCTTAGTGGCCTTAGTGGCCTTGGTGGCCTTGGTGGCCTTAGTGGCCTTAGTGGCCTTAGTGGTCTTAGTGGCCTTGGTGGCCTTGGTGGCCTTGGTGGCCTTAGTGGCCTTAGTGGCCTTGGTGGCCTTAGTGGTCTTAGTGGCCTTAGTGGTCTTAGTGGCCTTGGTGGCCTTAGTGGCCTTGGTGGCCTTGGTGGCCTTAGTGGCCTTGGTGGCCTTAGTGGCCTTGGTGGCCTTGGTGGCCTTAGTGGCCTTGGTGGCCTTGGTGGCCTTGGTGGCCTTAGTGGCCTTGGTGGCCTTGGTGGCCTTAGTGGCCTTGGTGGCCTTGGTGGCCTTAGTGGTCTTAGTGGTCTTAGTGGCCTTAGTGGCCTTAGTGGTCTTAGTGGCCTTAGTGGCCTTAGTGGCCTTGGTGGCCTTAGTGGCCTTGGTGGCCTTAGTGGCCTTGGTGGCCTTAGTGGCCTTGGTGGCCTTGGTGGCCTTGGTGGCCTTGGTGGCCTTAGTGGCCTTGGTGGCCTTGGTGGCCTTGGTTGCCTTAGTGGTCTTGGTGGCCTTAGTGACCTTGGTGGCCTTAGTGGCCTTAGTGGCCTTAGTGGCCTTGGTGGCCTTAGTGGCCTTGGTGGCCTTAGTGGCCTTAGTGGCCTTAGTGGCCTTGGTGGCCTTGGTAGCCTTGGTGGCCTTGGTGGCCTTGGTGGCCTTAGTGGCCTTAGTGGCCTTGGTGGCCTTGGTAGCCTTGGTGGCCTTGGTGGCCTTGGTGGCCTTAGTGGCCTTGGTGGCCTTGGTGGCCTTGGTGGCCTTAGTGGCCTTAGTGGCCTTGGTGGCCTTGGTGGCCTTAGTGGCCTTAGTGGCCTTAGTGGCCTTGGTGGCCTTGGTGGCCTTGGTGGCCTTAGTGGCCTTAGTGGCCTTGGTGGCCTTAGTGGTCTTAGTGGTCTTAGTGGCCTTGGTGGCCTTAGTGGCCTTGGTGGCCTTGGTGGCCTTGGTGGCCTTAGTGGCCTTGGTGGCCTTAGTGGCCTTGGTGGCCTTGGTGGCCTTAGTGGCCTTGGTGGCCTTGGTGGCCTTGGTGGCCTTAGTGGCCTTGGTGGCCTTGGTGGCCTTAGTGGCCTTGGTGGCCTTGGTGGCCTTAGTGGTCTTAGTGGTCTTAGTGGCCTTAGTGGCCTTAGTGGTCTTAGTGGCCTTAGTGGCCTTAGTGGCCTTGGTGGCCTTAGTGGCCTTGGTGGCCTTAGTGGCCTTGGTGGCCTTGGTGGCCTTAGTGGCCTTGGTGGCCTTGGTGGCCTTAGTGGCCTTAGTGGTCTTAGTGGCCTTAGTGGTCTTAGTGGCCTTAGTGGCCTTAGTGGCCTTGGTAGCCTTAGTGACCTTAGTGGTCTTAGTGGCCTTAGTGGCCTTGGTGACCTTCGTGGCCTTAGTGGCCTTAGTGGCCTTAGTGGCCTTGGTGGCCTTAGTGGCCTTGGTGGCCTTGGTGGCCTTGGTGGCCTTGGTGGCCTTAGTGGCCTTAGTGGCCTTAGTGGCCTTGGTGACCTTAGTGGCCTTAGTGGCCTTGGTGACCTTAGTGGCCTTAGTGGCCTTGGTGGCCTTAGTGGCCTTGGTGGCCTTAGTGGCCTTGGTGACCTTAGTGGCCTTGGTGGCCTTGGTGGCCTTAGTGGCCTTAGTGGCCTTGGTGACCTTAGTGGCCTTGGTGACCTTAGTGGCCTTAGTGGCCTTAGTGGCCTTAGTGGCCTTGGTGGCCTTGGTGGCCTTGGTGGCCTTGGTGGCCTTAGTGGCCTTGGTGGCCTGCAAGATACGTGCTGGGGGGAAACAATGAAGTGCTTGGAGAATACCCAGAACGCAGGTTCGAATCTGCACCACAGCTCCTACGGATCACCTCATTTGATAACAGTGTTAATCCCAGGAGGTAGAAGTCTTCCTTGTGAGGAGGAGACAACCACACACTGGCTTACCTGCACCAGTAACACGAAGAGGAAGGAGACACATGAGACACATGAAGGAGACACATGAAGGAGACACATGAAGGAGACACAGGAGACACATGAAGGAGACACATGAGACACATGAGACACATGAAGGAGACACAGGAGACACATGAAGGAGACACATGAGACACATGAAGGAGACACATGAGACACATGAAGGAGACACATGAGACACATGAAGGAGACACAGGAGACACATGAGACACATGAAGGAGACACATGAGACACATGAAGGAGACACATGAGACACATGAAGGAGACACATGAGACACATGAGACACATGAAGGAGACACATGAGACACATGAGACACATGAAGGAGACACATGAGACACATGAAGGAGACACATGAGACACATGAAGGAGACACATGAGACGCATGAAGAAGACACATGAGACACATGAAGGAGACACATGAGACACATGAAGGAGACACATGAGACACATGAAGGAGACACATGAAGGAGACACATGAGACACATGAAGGAGACACATGAGACACATGAAGGAGACACATGAGACACATGAAGGAGACACATGAGACACATGAGACACATGAAGGAGACACATGAGACACATGAAGGAGACACATGAGACACATGAGACACATGAAGGAGACACATGAAGGAGACACATGAGACACATGAAGGAGACACATGAGACACATGAAGGAGACACATGAGACACATGAAGGAGACACATGAGACACATGAAGGAGACACATGAGACACATGAAGGAGACACATGAAGGAGACACATGAGACACATGAAGGAGACACATGAGACACATGAAGGAGACACATGAGACACATGAAGGAGACACATGAGACACATGAAGGAGACACATGAGACACATGAAGGAGACACATGAGACACATGAAGGAGACACATGAGACACATGAGACACATGAAGGAGACACATGAGACACATGAAGGAGACACATGAGACACATGAAGGAGACACATGAGACGCATGAAGAAGACACATGAGACACATGAAGGAGACACATGAGACACATGAAGGAGACACATGAGACACATGAAGGAGACACATGAGACACATGAAGGAGACACATGAGACACATGAAGGAGACACATGAGACACATGAAGGAGACACATGAGACACATGAAGGAGACACATGAGACACATGAAGGAGACACATGAGACACATGAAGGAGACACAGGAGACACATGAAGGAGACACATGAGACACATGAAGGAGACACATGAGACACATGAGACACATGAAGGAGACACATGAGACACATGAAGGAGACACATGAGACACATGAGACACATGAAGGAGACACATGAGACACATGAAGGAGACACATGAGACACATGAAGGAGACACATGAGACACATGAAGGAGACACATGAGACACATGAAGGAGACACATGAGACACATGAAGGAGACACATGAGACACATGAAGGAGACACATGAGACACATGAAGGAGACACATGAGACACATGAGACACATGAAGGAGACACATGAGACACATGAAGGAGACACATGAGACACATGAAGGAGACACATGAGACACATGAAGGAGACACATGAAGGAGACACATGAAGGAGACACATGAAGGAGACACAGGAGACACATGAAGAAGATACATGAAGGAGACACATGAGACACATGAAGGAGACACATGAGACACATGAAGGAGACACAGGAGACACATGAAGGAGACACAGGAGACACATGAAGGAGACACATGAAGTTATAAAGGACACATTAAATGCGTAAATTATGCATATTAGAAAAGTCCCGGCACATGAAAACACCTGGGTAAATACTGGTTTGGATGCATGAGTGCTGATACGTGGAACCAATTACCCCGTAACATAATAGATGCGGGATCCCTGGATTGTTTCGAACGTAGGCTAGACACATATATGAATATATTACACGTGGTCTTGGGTGGATATAAATTGGAGTTGCCTCGTATAGGCCAGTAGGCCTAATGCAGTTTCTTTGATTTTTATGTTTTTTGTATTAAAGTTTAGAACACAAAAACTATTAGAGTATCGTTGAGAGATTCAGAGTTCTCAACTACAAGGAATAAATATGACGTTCATTTTTAATATCAACAAGAGACAGATATATATATATATATATATATATATATATATATATATATATATATATATATATATATATATATATATATATATATATGCCACTCAGCTGAAGACCTCCAACGGCTCATAACCCGCTTCAGCGAGGCCTCTCAGGCTTTCGGACTCACCATCAGTCTGAAGAAAACACAAGTCATGGGACAAGGAGTGGACTCCCCACCTGACATCGGCATCTCTGATTCCAAACTGGAAGTTGTTCACGACTTCGTGTACCTGGGCTCCACAATCTCTGACTCCCTCTCTCTTGATACGGAGCTAAACAAACGCATCGGTAAGGCATCTACTACCATGTCCAAACTGACAAAGAGAGTGTGGGCCAACAATAGGCTGACTGAGTATACTAAGATTCAGGTTTACAGATCCTGTGTCTTGAGCACTCTCCTTTATGGCAGTGAGTCTTGGACACTCCGCGCCCGTCAGGAAAGACGGCTGAATGCCTACCACATGCGCTGCCTTCGACACATCTTGGACATCACCTGGCAGGACAAGGTGACAAACAACAACGTCTTGGGGAGAGCAAGAATCACCAGCATGTACACAATGCTGAAACAGAGACAAATTCGCTGGCTCGGGCACGTTGTGCGAATGGGCGACGGCAGGATCCCCAAGGATCTCCTGTATGGAGAGCTGAGGCAGGGAAAGCGTCCAGTAGGCAAGCCCCAGCTACGGTACAAAGACGTATGCAAAAGGGACCTGAAAGCCATGGACGTCGGTCTCGCTATATGGGAGACACTGGCTACAGACCGTTCAGCCTGGAGGCAGTCTGTTCAACGAGGTCTCTCCAAGTTCGAGGAGTCACTTGCCAAGGAATCGGAGGCAAAGAGACAGAGAAGGAAAGCCGGTAACCAGGAAGACAGACCAGAATCGGACTTCGTTTGTGCTCGGTGTGGGATGGACTGCCACTCTCGGATTGGCCTCATCAGTCACACCAGACGCTGCACCAGGATTGACAACTAGGGCGCAACTCCATAGTCTCCCGAGACTGAAGGATGCCTACTACTATATATATATATATATATATATATATATATATATATATATATATATATATATATATATATATATATTATATATATATATATATATATATATATATATATATAATATATATATCAACACCGCATATTATCCAGTTGTATTTAATTCAACATACCTTATCGTCTTCAACAATAACTTCAATACTGTATAATTTATCAGACGATGAGCTCGAAGAGCATCCAAATTTTTCCAGAAGATTTTGAAAATCGTTCCAAATATTTCTCTAACATTTTCTCTACGTAACTCAATGATTATTATATAATTATGAGTTCACACACACACACACACACACACACACACACACACACACACACACACACACACACACACACACACACACACACACACACACACACACACACACACACACATACTAGAGCCCAGTAGGCTCAGGAATCTGTACACCAGTTGATTGACAGTTGAGAGGCGGGACCAAAGAGCCAAAGCTCAACCCCCGCAAGCACAATTAGGTGAGTATAGGTGAGTACACACACACACACACACAAAACACGCTCTTTTAACAAACAAAACATCAGGAACACTTTCAAAATGACTGAAAAAATCTCTACTTAACCACTTAAAAAAAAAACACTAAAACGAAATCAACTTAAACACTAAAATAAAAAAATATATAAATTCTTTCAAACACTTTCTAAGAACAACTTCCTCGAACACTTAACATTCTTCACAAAAGCTAAGAAAACTTTTTCCATCTCATTACAGCTTTGATGAAACGCCTTTGATCTTGAGCACATTGACCAACTTACCCAATATTTTCTGACAACATTTATATATATATTATATATATATATATATATATATATATATATATATATATATATATATATATATATATATATATATATATATATATATATATATATATATTATATATATATATATATATATAGATATATATATATCTTATATATATCATATATATATACATATACATATACATATATATTTAAATCGCAGCTCTGCTAAAGTTAATGAAGAAAAAATCACGAGCCACTCATGAAAGGGGCGATGGTTAAGGTCTGGAGGTATTGGTTAAGGTCTGGAGGTATTGGTTAAGGTCTGGAGGTATTGGTTAAGGTCTGGAGGTATTAGTTAAGGTCTGGAGGTATTGGTTAAGGTCTGGAGGTATTGGTTAAGGTCTGGAGGTATTGGTT